ATATATATATATAATTTCTTAATGCACGTAGGAAACGTTTGCTAATTTTGTGTATTTGAATAATAATAGATTATGTACTGTTGTCTTTCTTCTTTACAAAATTAAAGGAAGCGTCATCAGTCGCTCCAAGAAAATGCTCTTGTGGTGTCACTTTTATCTTCTTACCAATTCGTGATACAGAAAAATCTATATTTTTAAATTGTTTTTCATCTATTCCCATTTGTAAAGGGTGAACACAGATTTCAGGATCTTCACGAAGAGGAACTGATTCCACATGGCATTTATTATTGTCCATACGTCCATTGAATGCGATTTCATGCTGATATAAGGTGAAAAATGTTTTTTTTTTTTTTTTTACGTTCAGACTACTTTGAATATACATATCGAATGTATAATAGTAGTATTCATAACATAATATTATAATCAAATTGTATGTTATTTATGCTTACCATCGTTTCTAGTTCGTCTTTTTTCCTTATTGGATTTTCATTCATAATTAAATCCTGTAGTGAAATCTTATTGGTTTTCAAAAGACCCATGATTGCAGCATTTCTATATAATTTATCTTTCTGTTTAATACATTTATCGTTTAAATTATTAGCCTTAGGTTGATTTACTTTTATATTATCATATTTGGAAGAATTTTGAGATATGTCTTTCTCACATTGAATCTCTTTAAGATTTCTGAAGAAACTCTCTTCCCAATGTTTATTTGAAAGGTCACGTCCACCATTTACCTATGTCATATTAATTTAATTTTTTTAGCTACGTCAATTAATCTTTAAAAATTAATGTTTATTTTTATTTAGCTTTTTTATACTGCTTAGATGTGCAGTTGATGTGTAAATAACATAAAGTTAATAAATTTTTCTTCAAATATATATTTTTTAACACAGAAATTAATTTTATCTTAAAATCCTAACGCTATTATTTATGATTAAAATAAAAAATGTATTTTTGTTAATGTCTTAATTATCTTTTTAGATAAGAATATTTGCTTACCTCTTTAACGGCAACAGAGACTTCATGTTTGTCGAAAGTAGGTTTTACTCTACTACATATATTTACATCCATGTTATCATTTTCTGATGAATCAGAGTCTTCTAATAACTGAAATTAAATGAGCGAATAATTGTTTAGAAATAATATATACAGAATCTTCTAAAAGTTCAGAAAAGCTAAAATATTTCGAAAATGACTAAACTAAAGCGAAAAATGTATAAACAAAGTTGTAGAGCTAAAGAAAATGTATCTGTTGATGATAAGGGTTTGACTTTAAATAAAGTCTTCAAGATCAAGATGAAAGTTAAGTTGAATTTTTCGACTAGAAATTTCCATTTTATATTGCATGTTCTTTTATTATCTCTTTAAAATCTTTTATTCATAATCTTGACAACATACATCAAAATCAAGACCATTGGAGGTTGTTCCTCCTATTTTCATTTTTGCATTGAAACTAAAAATAAAAACAATCTCCTTGGGTAATGCTAATGCTGACTATATTGTAATTTGCAAACTTCATAACATGGGAGGTACTTAACGGAAAAATACTTTTGAGACTTTCACGGGTGTTTTCTTCAGAGGTGCCAAAGGGTGTAATGCCATTAGCAACCCTGATAGCTATCTGTCTGTGTTCTTGCTGCGATGTTGTCGAAAATAAAGCGCATTAGTTTTCAGCAAATTTAGAACAAGTTGTATAAGTCATTTGCCTATGGTAGAACATATGAATTCAACATGTGTTGCTGCCAACTTGCCATGTATTTGTTGTCAACGATTTATGAAAATGAATGATAAATCAAAAAGTTTTCCATGAATGGAAGTCATTTTGCTGACATCAAAATGAGCAACAAAATGTTCTCCATTTGCTCTGAATCTGCTGACACAAAATGTTTCAAATCTGCTCTCGTGTTGTTGAATACGTATGATTATGTATTACGTTTTCAGCAACTAGTCGAAAATTTGTGCTCAGCATTAAATTGCATGATTTTGCAAAGTATGCTTGACTAACAGGGAGAATGGAATCATGACACGGCAATAAAATCCTTTGACATCTGAGGAACAATATTTTATGATAATGAAAAGTTCTGGAAATAAATTACAAGAATATGCAATAAAAAAAGAGTATTCTACTGAAAAAATTTAACTTGATCTTCATATGATCTTGCAAACTTCGTTCAAACTCTTATCATTTATTAGGTATATTTTTTTAATCCTACAATTTTGCTTCTCACATATTTTTCGCTATATTTGATCGTTTTCAATATATATTTGGACTTTTAGAGTACACTGCATATATAAAATCAAATATTACTTTTCATGTATGTGTTAACATACAATGACTGCAAAAATGTACAGGCGAGATACTTTTAAAAAAAGGATTTCTTTTTAGAAGGTAAAGTTTAGTAACTAATTAGCAATTTATTAACAAAGAATAAAATTTCTCAAAATTATTTTACTTAAAAAGATGTATAATAATTAAAGTACATTATCTTAATAACAATAAAATGAAACATTTACTACATATACTGACACGTATGTTTCGTGGTTTCCTCACTGATCTTTCATTCATTTTTTTATCTTTTGCAGCCTGACTTGGTTCTTGCAATAGATAGAACTTGGCATCGTTGTCTGAGAAAGTAAGTGCTGTTGCCTTCTTAATATCATTACGCAAATCCATTTTTGAAAAACCTGAAGAACACACTAGAAAAATAATAGATCTGGTCAAGCTAATTTTGTTAGATAATTTGTGTCCAGTGTTTCTTTAAAGATGCCAGTTTTTGACCTTGTTGAATGTTGCTCAATTTCTATAATATTAGATTGGAGCAAAATATTTTAAATTTTTATATATTTTACTGCAACACATTTTTTTAAATGGCAGCTTCATTACCATTATGCAACTCTCAAAAACATTTGATGAAAATCGATGCCTTATTTCAAGGAGATATTGCTGAATCTATTATATAGCATATTTAACGAATTATTTAATTTTAAGAGATCTCTCAGCTCATTCAGTTTGTCACAAATTTTCAAAAACACCCTGTACATTTTTCAAAATAAAGTTATAAAAAATAGAAGCAGAAATACACGTTTCACAATTTATCAAATATTAAATTTTCAATATTAAATTTCTCTATTGATTTTTGTTCTTATGTTCAAATAAAAAAAAAACTTTAAATAAGATCAAAATATATTTACAAATAAAACCATCAGCGTACAATGTTTGTTTTCTTGCTGGATTAGATTCTTGCTACTATATTGGCTGAGATGCTAGCATTAATTTATGGTTAATGAGTGGTGGCAAAATTCTAATCCAGTTAGCAATCCAGCAGGAAAACATGTGTCGCTCTTAAGCCACTGGCTTAAGAGTTAATTAAACAGTTGAATGAATTAATTAATATTGTCTAAACTAAATTAATTTACAATACTTGGGTGCGAATTTGCACCCAGGTATTCTTTACAGATACTCAAAAGGGATGTGTCCCTTATAAGGGAGATAATATGTACTACATAAATAATTGTATTACAATTTTTCGGATCAAGCTAATTTATTATCTATATTGTTATTTCAATAATACTAAAAGAAGCAATTAATTTTATCTGTCTTACTTTTGTTCGACTGCAAAAACAGAAAACTAAATTGAAAAGCTTTTCAACTTGCTCACACACTGATCAAAGTCACATTTTTATGTATTTGATAATATATACGTATATCTTTAATTTTACGCGTCCTTTTTCATAAATTTTTTATATTCTCGCAAATTAACTGCTGTTTATATCGGTAATTGTTCAATTTAGCCACGTCACCTAAAAAATTGAAATTAGACTCATTCGACGCGTTTATATTCGAAACGAACGGATTTGATCGAGAAAAGCATCACTTTGTCCCGTGAAATGAGATATTAACGAGATATTAATCGTTAACGATTATTCAGGTTAGGAAATTTGTCACAGCTACAAATTATGTATGTACTGTCACCGACGAGATACTATTAAAGATCGTTAATCCTGGGCAAATTTTTGGCGGTATAAAAAGGGTTCCAAGGGCCCGGAGGTAATTAAAGAATGCTGACATTATCGACAATTAATATAAATTTGCTATTATTGACATAAATATTTGGCTCATACATTATTAAATTCATAATTTTTTATTACATAAATGTTCTATAAATAAATATGCACACTTGTAAAGCTATAATATCTTATATATTGCAGAAAAATTACAATTTTTTCTCTGCAGTTATCATCTCTGTTGATAATAAAACTTTGATGATAACACTGAAATCACAATTTTAAAGAAAAATCGCGTATTATTGAATTCTAAATGCATAAATACGTCTACTAAACTAATAAATCATAAGATTAGTACAATATTATTAGTTTTTAATTACTTACAATATTCACAAGGACGCGAACTCCCGTAAGGATGTCGGTCTTTAATAGTACCTCGTCGGTGGTACTGCGAATACTGCGATGCGAATTGCAAACATGCGCAGTTACATACGGTCACATTTTCATACTCTATGACTATAGACGCATCCTCTGGCTGTGCTCCAAAATTCACTTTATTCACTGCCAGCGCTAAAAATTTAGGTTGCGTTCGGGAATTAATTACAAAATTAAAAAAGGGGGCGATTGAAAGCATATGCCAAGTAAAAAACATAAACTCACAGGCTCCTAACATGTTCTTTGGTTACCGCGACACATTTTACCGCGCGACAAGCGTTTCCGCATCCAGTGTGTACTGTCGCTTTGTCAGTGAAGTACTAAATGAACACAGACAGATAAAGCCCATTCTACATTAGCGCAAGCCGATCGCAAGTTTGTTGCGACAGCCAATCTGAAGTTTGCATTTTGAAATCAACACTTCATATTGGCTATCGCAACAAACTTGCGATCAGCTTGCGCTAATGTAGAATGGGCTTAATGTATTTGACGTATGGAATATTGCATGTTATTTTAGATTTAGCTTTATTAAACTCAAAAATAACTTAATTAATTTTTACCGTTATGGCCAAGATTTTGTATTCCCTATTAATTTTTGCACCAATTACACAATAGAATTTTTTTGCAGGCATTTTATTAATAATAAACAGCGCGTGCCGATTTTGTTTGAGCATCTATGTTACATGATTTAGCCGATTGGTGACATCACTTGAGCTACGTAATGTACGCAACTAGCGTATAAATGCTCCCTTATTTTCTGCTACTTTTTTTTTGTAATTATGCAGGAGACGGGCTTATTCACCGATTATAATATATTCACCGATTATTAATATAAACTATACTTTATATAAAGATATTTAGAAAAATGTTTATCTTTAAACATTATCTTTTAAATATTTAATTTACATACATTTATGTTTAATTCTATGATATTTTATTATATAATAGATATTTTTTAGTTTTTAGTGTTCTTACGCTAAAGCATAGTGAATAAAGCAAAAATAAACAAAAAGTTTTTTATTTATTTAATACCTACAATCTTTATTGTTTGAGACAATCGTGATTTATCAAAAAGTAATGATACAAGACTAACGTAGTCAATTTCGTTATTTCTTATTAGAAAAAAATGTAACGTCATTACAAGTAATTACTTCCTAACTCTGGTGTCTCCCACTATTGAATAGCCTGAATTCCGACACCGTCGAGATACTATTAAAGACCGACATCCTTATGGGAGTTTGCGTCCTTGAAGTGATTAAGTGTTAAAAACTAATAATATTGTACTTTAATTTTATGATTTATTAGTTTAGTGGACGTATTTATGTATTTATAACTCAATAATACTCAATTTTTCTTTAAAACTATGATTTCAGTTATTATATCGTCAAAGTTTGATTAAATCAACAAAGATGATAAACTGCAGAGAAAAATTTAATTTTTTTGCAATAGATAGTATCTCGTCGGTGGTTCCCGATCATAAAGAAAGGCATCAAACATTAAAAAAAATAACACTGAATGTGTGTGTAAACTAATAAGGACTAACTTTTGGTACTTTCCAGCAAATGACACAGTGATTATATGTCATCTTCATTTAACATTAGCAAACAACAAAGATGTAATGGATTTATTGTATTATACAGTGTCATCTCTGTGTCTCTTTGTTAAAAAGCACCCTTTGCCAGAGTCTGCACCTAAAATAAAACGCGTTTTAAATCTAAGTATATACATATTTAAAATAAACACAAGAATATTTACTTGTAAAGTAACATATTTGTGATAGGAGTGTGAACTAAAAATATATATGTAAGGTGCGTGAGGTGTGCGTTACCGACTGTGTCGATAGAAGCGCGTGGTGTATGTGTGTGTGTGTGTGTGGCGCGTCGGTCGCGAGTTAGATACAAAAAACGCGAGAGCGCGTTCTTCTTGAACTTTGAGAGACGAAAGCGTTCCCTGAGAATATGTGTTACGAGAGAATATTTTTTTCGAGCGCGAGTACGTTTTTCGAAAGAATTAAAACGAGCGAGTTTTTATCCAAAGACAGAATTAAGAGATTCGCGAGAGATTACGCGTCGTGGCGTGCAAGAGCATCGCGAGTTTTCCAGAAAAAAACTTCACGCCCGCGCGAAGAGAGAATTGTAACGAGCGTTGATAGTGAAAACGTGAGTAAATATATATTTATTGAACTTGCATCGAACTATCGAGCGAGATGTTGTATTTCTAACGTCTCACATATATAGTTGATAAAAATTATTAAAAAATATTTTGCAAATAAAGATAATATACAATTCTCATGTACAATATATAATTTGTACAATATTCAATAATAATAATGTTCGTCAGTTATAATTCAGACTTCTTGCAAATCTACTTTGATATTTTCACATATAAAACCCATGATCAATAAATTTATTTTTCACAAGTAATGATATTATTACTGTAAGATTTATATACAGTAAAAAAAAGAAAGAAAAAAAAACACTTTGTATAACATTCAATGATTATCCTCGAATTATGGCAAATTATTTGCAAATCTATTTCAATATTTTTATACATAAAATTCACAATAAGTCATTACTATTTGTTAAATAAAGTTCACTATGTATGGTTTGTTTGCAATATTAAAAATTGAAAATTTCAGTAGTAACAATATCCACTCAATTTTATCAAATCACTTGCAAATTTTCACATTTTCACTTATAAAAGCTATAAAACAGTTGTAGATTCTTTCTATACCAGAATACTACCTGCATGCTATGTGAACTGTGTAAGTAACTGTGAAATGTATTTCATAATGCATAAATTAAAAAATAATATTAAAATTAGATTTTAAAAAGTCACAGAATATGACAGATATAATATGATTGCTTCAATTCCAAAATAAGAGCTTGTTTCTGATGAGTTTCGAGAAGTATCAAAAATATCTAAAATATGAATTATAACGCAAGTTTATCCTGTTCAATACATATTGAATCAGATATTAGAATTTAATATACCAAAATTAATACTGAATATTAATTTGAAATGTAGAAATAAGATGTAAAAACTGTTATATTTCATAATAATAATAATAATTGTTCTTTCTTCGTTTCATTATCTGCACAAATATTATCGACTGCATCTTTATCGTTATTAAGATTGTTATTTGCGTTATTGTGAGTTATTAAGACATTAGGTATGTTTTTGTTTCGTTCATGTTTTCGTCATTTTCATTGTAGCTTCCATTAAAATTTTCGTTGAAATTATTGTCAACACTTTTACTTGTTGTTGCTTCAGCACTACAGTTATTCGTAGGCTTAGATTCTGTGTTTAACGTCATATTACGGATACACTTTCTTATTTCATGTCCGATAGCAGCTGCCAATGGTGGTGGCACCGCATTACCAACCTGTCGATGCTTATCAGTTATTGTACCAAAGAAACGATATGAATCGAGAAAGCCTTGCGATCTTGCACACTCTCTCACACTGACAACTCGATTTTGCACTGCATGCAAAACACGACCCTGAAAATCAATTATTAGATTGAAATTAAGGACTTTCCAAACAAATTTGTATAGCCGCATAATGCGTAGAAAAAATTAATTAATTAAAGTTATGTTAGCATACAAAATGACATTAGATATGATCTAATTAATCTTGCAAATGCTTTGAAACATTCTTTGATCAGTTCGTTCTTTCTTCTAATCAACGAAGTATTTGAAACATTAAGTGAATCGCATCTCTAGCTTTCTAAATTACAATATCTCCAGTTTGATGAATGTTAAGATAAATAGTAAATAGGGTTGGCTACATTAATCTAAATAGTGGTTAACTTCAACGATTAATATCTTCATTAATAGCTTCACAGGACAGAATACCACTTGTTTCTTCCAGATTCTTTCGTTTCGTACAAAACGTGCATAATTTCATCAAGCGGAGAGATATTTATTTAAATGTATACCACTATAAATATGCAGCTGTATCATTTTGTATGCGAAGGGTTTTAACTGCTACGTTCAAATTGTATCTACTATATCGAGATTGCAGAATAGGTATTCAATTTGTAGTATTTTATAAAATTATTAAAAATTAGATTTTATACTTTCACCATTTTAAAACCTTTACTAGGAGTGCGTTCCATTTCCACACTCATACATTATAAGCATTAGTTCTTCCTCAATAGTTTATCAAATATTAAACAAAGACAAATGAGGGTTAAAGCCTGCGCACAATAGAACAAATATTAGGAACAGGAATAAATTAAGATTTCAATCTATCGGATACCAGTTATCAGAATACGTGGTTTTTAGTAGGTTGAAATCTTAATATTTATTCCTATTCCTAATATTTCCTCCATTGTGCTCAGGGTCTTATAAGCGCAATGCGCAAAATAGAACGCATCATCCTAGATGTGTATCATTTTAAATATTTAACAACATACCTGTTTACCCATCGGCTCCGGATTAGTGATAGTCGTACTGAAAAACCCGTTCCATTCAATTCTTCCGTACAAACCCTTCCAATTATTGTGTCGACTCGCGGTATGTGGTAAACACCATGGAATCAAAGTATTAAATTGTTTATCAATAGGATCACACAGTTGCTTTCTAATACTGCACCTACATACTCCACGGAATGCATTTGTCGTACTTTTCCCAACTCTCTTATCATTATACATATATTCTCTAAAAAAAAAAAAGATAAAATTTGGATTTAGTCAATTAATTAATATAATTAAAGAATTTAATGATTTATTAAGAAAGAAATAGTTAAAAAGTATTGGACAGAATGTAATGTTTGGTTACCAAGCAAAAGATCTGATTAGCTACATATATGATACATATATGATTAGGAATTTTGAGTGGGAAAATATCCTCTAGAAAAAAGCTTAAACTAAACTGATTCCAATAGATGTTACACGTACAATTTCTTGGTATAGGTACCGTCACTCAATTGTACTACAATATTCGGCAGATCACGCCAATCAGAACCATTTGTAATTGGAATGTAGCTCATTCGCGCTTCTACAAGCGGAGACATTTCTTTGCATATGTGATCCGTTAATTTTGATTGATACGGTTTACCTCTCATCTAAAATAAATCAAATAAAAACTTTAATATTTGTTTCTAAATATATTACACACAACAATTAAGGGATCATTTTAAAATCTGCAAATATTGTCAATATTTAAAAGCCTGGAGCTTCCAGAAAATTTTCTAAGTGCATTTTAAAGGATAAAATCTTGACTTTAAAACAGTTAAAATTATATTTTTTGCTTCATCGAATGATTTTTTTCGCGAAGACAGAAGCAGGTCGTGTCAAAATT